CAGAACACGAGTGACGTGCTTACCAAGTTATTTCCCCATGCGGTGTTTGGGCCATTAATTTGGCCAGTGCATTTCTGGAGAGGTGAGACGGTGATGGAGGATGGAGTAGCACAAGCTTGGACTCTGGGGATGATGCAATGTAGGCAAATGGAGAGCCTGAATCTTATGTGACATGGTTTGTTATTCTACATCCCAAGGGTGATCCAGTTATTTAACTCTCACACTCATCCTGTGTTGACCTCATGGTATGGAGGAGCTATGTCTTCTTCTTCTTGGACAGTAGCCATGGTGTAGAATCAATGGAGTGGGAGAAATCACTGACCCATACGAAGTAGGGTCCAGTGAGTATAAATTTTCTCGCGTCTGTCAGTCAAGGTGTTTGTGTGACTACCGGTAAATTAATGAAACTTTAACGTACAGAACCCGTCGGAATGCTAAATGTCACATTGACGCATTACTTCAGATAACTATAAGGACCGCACAAAGCTGTACAGTACCATAACATAGGAAAAAGGTAACATCCATATACTATTAATATTATTGACAGGCCCTAACCACAATAGCAGAGCTACCGTCACCCACCTGTGCACTACATGCAGAGGTGCACATGTATCTACTCAGCTATATGATACGAGCCATTGGGAAAGGCACTACTACACTGCAAAAGGCAGAGCTACAGTCAGGCCCCACACTACAAACCCTGCACTACAAGCAGCAAATGAAAGTGGTCTCAGGTGTCTATGGAGATACCATCCAGCTTCGAATACGACCATGGAGACAAGCCCTTCACTCTAAATGGCAGAGCTACAGTCAGGCCCTATTGGTACTTTACAAGCAGCAGATCTACATCAAGATCCCAGGGAGCTACCATCCAGCTACCAATACGATACAGTCAAGCCCAACACTACAATTTGCGGTGCTATACAGTCGCACAGGGAACACCTCCTTCCGCGCGCAAGTGCCGGGGCAGTGCCACAGACAGTGAGGTCCCCTTGTACATACCGCGAGAATATATACCCTAAGAATAATCAAGGGAGTTGATTTATCTGAGTGATGCTTGAAATACACCTTGGTCTTTAATCTCTCTGTCTGCCTGACTTGTGTAGATTGAAGCCTCAAACAGCAAAGGAACGAGTTGTCTCAGCTGCCCTTGTAGTGTGCAATAAATCAATGGGAGTGGTCATCACCAGTGCCCGAGAGAGTGGTTTGTTGTAAAGACCAAAGTGTATGATCTGACATGATGCAGTTCCAGTACAGAAGCATTTGCAACGCGTCCTCACCCTCTGTAGTCTGAAAAGGATTAGCAATTCCTAAATAAAAATGCAGATGTCTGGAAACATCTATGTTGAGCAATGATGAGAACCCAAACCAAAGCGACACGGATGATGTCACAAAGACGGTCACGTTTAAGCAAGCGCGGTAAGCGGCAAAGAAGGAGTGGATCAAGGACGATCACTTCTTGGAGAAAATAAGTAAAGTGGTTTTATTGACTCTGATCTGCTTAATCATTTGTGTTGCTTAAATGGCGCGCAAGAAATATTCTAGATCCAACATTTTCTCCAAGAAGGGAGTGAAAAGACATGTCTTTGATGATGAGCAATACTCCGATGACAGGAGCGACATCGAGCAGTTGAGGTGCAACGCCTCCCGCTCCACCAGCAAGTGAAGGAAGCTGACGCAACCATTATTGTCATGGTAATCATGCTGGGAATTGTGCCAGGAATCAAGGCAACAGCAATGGAAGCAGACTCAATGGACCGAGTTGTGCGCCTCGGAAATTTCCAAGGCAGCGAGCCCACACTGGCTGGTTACATCTACGATTACAACGGTTCACGCAATCCCGATGGATTCATCCGCACAACAAATGAAATTATCACTTACATTGGGTGCTTCTTCAAGAAATATACCAAGGAGCTGCTCAAGGGAATGCGCAACGTGGAACTGAAGATTCTTGATGAGCCTGCGCATCCAGTCAATGATGCCAACACGATGGACTCGGACTGTTCCATAATGCTCAAGGAATATAAGGCTGACAAAAAAAGAGCATGTTGAGCGTGTGCGCATGTACTCTGACTTCCTTGCTGGCCTCTACGCCGTGTTGTATGGACAATGCACGGAGCGTATGAAGGATTGTGTCAAGTCGCATGCCAAGTTTTAAGATGCCGAGGAAGACACGGACGGAATTCAGTTGCTGGCAATCATCAAAGAGATCTCACATACGTACGAAGGGCGCTGCAAACTTGTGGATCAAGTCATGGACATTCAAGCTGATTTGTTCGGATGTACTCATGTTCGCGCAGCCGCCAAAGGTGAACATTTTGAAAAAGGCTGTACTCTTGGACAATCAGTCAACAGTGGATCTGTTCTGCAATGCCAAGATGCTGAAGAACATTTGCCCGGTTCCAACTTGGATGGTCATCAAGTGCAACGCTGGAACAGTGAGGACGAACATGATGGGCGACCTGGAGGGCTACGGGCCCGTGTGGTGGTATCCGCAGGGACTGGCAAACATTTTGAGTTTGGCGCAAGTCTGGAAGAAGTTCATGGTGGAGTATTTCAAGCTGGGCGTGGAGCGTCCAAAGTTTGTGGTGGTGAAGCCGGTTGGTAAGCAGCGAGAGTTCGTCGAGACTGACTCTGGGCTGTATGTTTGCGAGTGCTTTTCAAAAGGCAAGCGCGACATCAAGGATGCCATGGTGATGGTGACTACGGTAGACAATAACCGTACTAACTACACCAATAATGACTATTTACGTGCTGTTAAAGCTAGGGAATTGCAAATTAAAATTGGACGGCCGAGCCTCAAGGATTACCTGCGCATCCTCACTAGCAATCAGTTGCCAAACTGTCCCGTGATGAAGGCTGACATCATGGCTGCTGAGCACATCTTCGGGCCAGATGTTGGTTCATTGAAAGGAAAGATGACGCGTCGCGCGTCGCACCTGGTGAAGCCTGCGATTGTTGAGCAGCTTCCACCTGCAATCATGAGTCGCTATCGAGACATTACTCTTTATGCTGACATTATGTATATCAACAAGGTCCCTATGTTGGTGACATTCTCCCACAGTATTCATTTTGCTACGGTTGAGGTGATTCAAAACCGTACGCTTCCGGTTATGGTGAAAGCAATTGAGTCGGTGTTGAAGATTTATGCACGCGGTGGGTTCCGTGTCATCGTGGCTTTGATGGATGGCGAATTCGCACCAATGCTTGGCGTATTGGCGGATCTCAGAGTGGCGCTCAACGCTCTATCTGAGGATGAGCACGTTGGTGAAATTGATTGGTTTATCCGCGTCATGAAGGAACGCGTGCGCGCAACATACAACACATTGCCATTTAAGCACGTGCCTGCTCACTTGGTTCTCGAGATGACAAAGTCTGCTGTGTTTTGGTTGAATGCGTTTTTGAATGAGTGCAGCATTTCAAAGGATTTCAGCCCACGCACAATTGTGACTGGTCAGACAGTTGATTTTACTTGGCATTGCAAGTATGAATTCGGACAGTATGTGCAGACGCACGAGTCGCACAGCAATGACATGCAGGCACGCACAATCGGTGCGCTGGCTTTGCGCCCAACTGGGAATGTGCAGGGTGGGTATTATTTCCACAGTTTGTCTTTGGGCGAAATTCTGAATTGTGGTCACGTTACACCTTTGCCTATGCCTGACGATGTCATTGAGCACGTGCATCACCTCGCTCATCAACAGAAGGCCAATCCGGGCATCATTTTCATGGATCGCCACCGTGGTGCGGAAGCAACTGAACCAGTCATGTGGCATGATGATGACAGCAAGGACAATGATGACAACTCTGATAATGATGATTATGCTTCGCACAGCGATGACAACTCTGCCAGCGGAAGCGAAGGAGTGAATGCGACTGATGGCGATAACAACAGCGACAGCAACAACAATGATGACAGTGCAATCGAAGGAGTGCCAGACGGTGAGGCCATTGATGGCAACCTTGACAACATGCCGGCCGTGGATGATGGCAAAATTGAAGGAGTGCCCAATGATGAAGGCAAAATTTAAGGAGTGCCAGCCAACAAGGGAGCTGCAGACAAAGAGGATTTTGATGCGCACTATGGTCCACACACTGGTTGGTATGGCCTGCGTGCATGCAAACCTAGGTTGTTTGCTCATTGTTCATGCTCGCCGCTGCAGAGGAAGTGTCAGAGCCACTCGTCATGGCACAGATGAACATGCAACAAGGTTCAAAGGCATTTGGCAACACTGGTGTGGAAGCAGTGCACAAGGATATGCAGCAGCTACACAACAGACACATCATGAAGGCAGTCTCCCATTGCACTTTGACTCCGCAGCAGCAAAAGGATGCATTGGCGTATTTGATGTTTCTCAAGTGCAAGAGGTGTGGCACTGTCAAGGGGCACGGGTGCGCAGACGGATGCAAGCAAAGAGCGTACACAGTGAAGGAAGATGCGGCATCTCCCACGAGCACAACGGAGGCCATATTTTTGACGGCAATCATTGACGCTATAGAAGGGCATGAGGTTGCTGTGGTTGATGTTCCAGGCACTTTTATGCAGGCCGACATGGACGAATTGGTACACGTTTGTTTCACTGGCAAAATGGTGGAGCTGTTGTTGGAGATTGATCGACAAGGGGACCTCACGGTCTGTGGCACTGCCCCAGCACTTGCGTGCGGAAGGACGTGATCCCTGTGTGACTGTATAGCACCACAATTTTTACTGTAGGGTTTGACTCTAGCTTTGCCTTTTGTAGTGCAGGGCCTTTCTCCATAGAATTTGGTTGGTGGTTCCTTGATACTGTACCTGGGATCTTGATGATGATCCACTGGTTGTAGTGTACCAAGAGGGCCTGACTGTAGCTTTGCCATTTGAAAGGGGACAACAGGCTCATATGCAAGTCCGTAAGGAGGAGCCGACAGGCCTGATTGTATGTCTGATTCATCCGTCCTTGCCATTTTGTTTTGACTGCATACCAGGTTTTATATATAAAAATTGGAGCTTTTTCTGTCAGTCCCTCATAGTGAAGTGGTTATCACCCAGCACTTTGAATGCTGTATCCTCGGTTCGAGCCCGGGTGAGGGAAGTGCAAACTTTTTTCCCACTCGCGCTTTTTTGCCACGACTGCAGATAACGGTACGACAGTTTAGTCGGACATTCTGCGTTGGACGCGATCATGGCGCCTTCCTTCACTATTCATGGTTACTAGAGTAAGCACATCATCATTATAGAACTTCAAAATGTGTCCATGCCTTCTTTTACAAAAGAATAACTTCCTTGCCGAGAGATATTCGCGCTCAGCTGCGTTGCAAATGACCGCTTCTGGCTGCGGGTACGCTAACCGAGTGGTTGCTACCGCGCTACTAATCGAAGCGAAATACAACAATTCACTTGTCGACAGCTCAGTCTCTATAGCAATAACGCATCAACTAAGATTGTTTTACGTTTATTCACTTGTCAGTGTATCGAACTATTCATAGCAAATAGCAATGTCATTCCAAACCATTTGTGACAGCTCCGACGCCGAATCAGAATTGTCGCCGTCGACTGATCTAACAGGAGCAGAGCAAGTTCTATCTGGTGGGAAGACGAGGAAGACGATGAATTAACGGAAGCACTCGAATTTTATAAAAATGGCGGGAAGTATAGAGGAATCAAGTGGGATGACGTTGCCGAGCATCCGACTCTTGCTGGCCGGCGAAGTGCATGTGCGTGCCGAAATCGTCATTATTTCCGAGACAGCCTGCGACACTCACCCAAGATGCGACCCAATTGGAAAGCAGCCGAAGACAATGCACTGGATGCAGCAATCAACAAGCAGAGACGAGCTGAGGGAAGCAATGAAAGTTGATCAACTGGGAAGTCGTGGCGGAAGACCAAACGCTCATTGACAATGACCAAGACGCTGCTGCCTGCTGTAAACGCTTCCAGTATCGAAAGTCAGAGTAAGAGAAGCGAGCTGATTGGACCCAAACCGAAATTCGGCTGCTGCTTGAACTGTCTTTTGACAATTGCCACGGTAATGAAGCGAACTATGCCTGCCTGCAAGTCCAAATGTTACAGATTAAAAAAAACAAACATTCCAGCTTGCAAGCAGGCCATGGTGGTAATGGATGCGATACGTCAAGCCTAATCATGCTGCGCGCGCACCTTGACCGCCTCCCAGGTTGATGCTGTTGTTGAGTGCGTTTTCGGAAGCAACTTCGTCGCCCAGTAAACCAAGGACAATGCTATAACGCCACCATTCTTCCGGCGAGTTGGATCGAATCGTCACACCTTGACTGCAGATTGATCTGGCGAGGCATAGGCTTTCAATATCGCCAGCCTTGCAGGCTGCGTAAACGATCGCATGCTCCAAGATTGGTCTGGCGTCAAACGTCCAAGCTCGAAACTGCAAAGAATGGTCAAAAACAGCATCCTTTCGATTGGTACAGTCAACTCCATCGATTGCAGTGGCAAGCGAATCAGTGATGAGTTTCCAGTCATTTTGAGATTCGCCCGGCAAGACAGGCAGCCAAAAGTCCGGTTCGCGATCCGCTGTAATTTGAGCCAGCGCGCCAGTCTCTTCGTCGCTCTCAACAACAGCCCAGTTACCGAGCTGCAGTTTCTCGCCAAGCATGAAGAGCCCTTGACCGAACGCTCCATTACCAACCGCATCACCGCCCGTTTCAGTTGGAGGCAAAAGAAGCGACGCTGCAACGCTGGCAATGGGACAGAAACTGAGGGAAGTACTGTACTTTTTCTGAATTGACAGTGTCGCTTCCCATGCCTTGCGCAAGTTATCCCAGCGCGGGTGTTTTCGCGAAATGGTTCCGTTCAACGTAAAACGCATGAGTAGCATTGTTGCTTCCGTCAAGAACATTGGCGTTGGTGGTATCCATGTGAGAATATCTTCAACGGAAGGGTCCAAGTTATCAATATGCAGCGAAGGTGAATTGGATTGCTTGGTAATAATTTCAAACTGCATCTCTTGCTCCTTGATTTCTTCATCGTTTCGAAACAGTTTGTCGAAGAGCGACTTTGGCTTGTCGCCTTCTGCAATGCTTGTTACTTCCGACCACGGCAAAGGCGCCTTGTGGACGGGCCGCTGCCATGGTCGCCCTTGAGCGAACCCACTGTAATCTAATACTCTGTCAAAATTTTCTTCGTAGAGCCGAAGCGCTTTGCTCATGCCTCGTCCGCGTTCTTCGCGATCTAGATGAAAACGCGCCCCATAGCCGCCCAGACGGCAATCAAAATGAAACAACCCCGAACCCATGTAGTTGGCCACTCCATCAAAATTTGCCAACGCAGAGATTCCTTCCGATACTCTGCCACTTGCGTCAAACACATGCGCTTGAGCCCAAGTCGCAATTCCTCCAGCGACACTTTTGCCTTGCTTGAGCGCGTTTGCTGCAATCTGCTCAGCTTCCTCGTGACGACCTCCAACAGCAAGTCCCAGTGCCATGAGAGACGACGCTAGTGAATGACCTGGCATGGCTGGTCGAATCATTCCACCTCGACGCTCATGCCAGTACTGCGAAACGGTGCCAGCCGCCCGAAGCGCCGCGTCCTTGTCGCCGGTTGTTTGCGAAAGATCCATCGCCAGCGAAAGCGCCAACGTGTCACCAGGACATAAACGCAGTATTCGAAGAATGATGGCCAAGGCCGTGGAGTGATCATCCTGCAAAAGCGCCTCCAATGCTTCCAGGTGCAGTCGCTCGCGTCGATTCAAACAGTCGTCATCTTTTCGCGCCACGGCAGATGCGGCAAGGTCAATCATTTGAATCACGGGGAGCCCAGGAGCCGCCGGCTTTGCATGACTCAGTAGCGAGTCTAAATGCTTCACATAGGCGACTCCAGCTCCCGCTAAGATGGGAGCCACCGCAACGTGCGCCAGCAGTGGTGCCGCCTTGCCATTTGCCACACTTGGTTCGCCGCTCCACGTTGTCGCGTGCCTCAACAACTCCGCCCAGCTGACCGCTGCCGAATGAATCGATTTAATGTGCAAACCAGCTTCCTCTCCACCATCCGTGCAAGTCTTGCCCTTGGAAACGACGGCCAGGAGAAAGCCGTCCAAGGCGGCCATGGCGTTTGTCGTATGATCCGTCGACGAGGCAGACAAAAATGTGACGGGTTCACCGAAAAAATCCAACTGAATCTGGTGAGAGACTGGGTCACGCGACGTGTCTCTTACTTGCGATGAGAATTGACGACGCGATATCTCAAGTAGCCGGCGTTTCGATGATGACAAACGCGGAAATATTTGATTGGCAAACGAGTCGGCGAGCATGCCGCTAGCGTTGTCAGTTCTTCTTGCATGGACATGGCTCCCTGACAATGATGCAATGCATCCGTAAGATGACGACCTAGATATTAATTTAAAGCATCTGATGGATTCGAGCATGATTTGCCGATAGATAAGGCCATCTGACAAGGTTTTCTAAGTTGATTTGTGGTCGAATCTGCGTCGCGGCGCGCATCCGAAATTGATGTCGAGTACCGGTAGGACGAAATCGCGTTTTATACGTGACACAGGCAATGTTGAAGTGTATCTTCGTGATGTAACTGTTCTTTGCGGCCACAACTCACGACCTATCAACATTTACATCAATGTATACTATTCGTTATCTATATATTGATTGTTTTGTTCACGTAAGTGTTAAAATGAAGGTGCAAACGATCCGGGTCGCACTGCTTTGCTAGGTTTCACGTACAACTTCTCATGCCATTTCCTTGTCACCTTCGTAGCTCAGTCGGCAGAGCGCTCGGCTTTTAACCGTGTGGTCGGGGGTTCGAGCCCCCCCGAGGGTGTCTTATCCTTTTGATCCCGCAGTTTACTTTTGCAAAGGGTGCGGTAATGATCCCGCGAAGAACCGCGCATTTTTGGCCGTCTCAAAAGTGCCAACGACACTTTTAACCCATGATTTCGCATGCTATACATGATCATACATGCCCACATACATATTTAAACTTAATTGGTGAACTCTAGTATAATGTCATCATCTTTGGTTCCAGCATTTACACTTGAAACAACGGAAATACTTCAGCATCATCGTCCAAGAATATTGGAATTCCAGGAGCTTCATTCTCACCAAGACGTGGGCGCGGATCTCCGCGATCATCATGCATGGTTGGATTAACGGCCAAGTTGTGTGTGGGTGACTGCGAGGCGGACTAGGTAGCATTGGAACATTGTCCTGCTGTTGATCGAATGCTGTGGCCACCGCGGGAACGTGTGCAAGACAAATAATCGGCACATCCTCGTTCGTTGCATCAGGAGCAACAGTAGAAGGTTCGTCACGGTGTTTGGACGATCGGCCTGTCAAATAATCGGCACATCCTCGTTCGTTGCATCAGGAGCAACAGTAGAAGGTTCGTCACGGTGTTTGGACGATCGGCCTGTAACCTTCTTCTGTATCGCCTTTTGGCCCCTTGGGTGACTTGCGCTACAGCAGCGACGACTGCTCGCTGCTCGGGCAGTTCGCCTAACTCGATATGCAGCACTTTTCTTACTATGTTTGCCAATAGGTATAGTGGCGACTTAGTCCTCGCTGTGGACATCATCAGCCGCAGATGCAGCAGGGTAACAAAACAGTACATCAATGTATCCAACATTCTGGCTGCCCGCCGTGTTGCTCCGCAACATGACGCGCTAGGTTCCTGCGCGTGGCCATGAAAAACGTTTGGACACGCGATGCAGAGGAAGTATGACAATCCCGGAGGTGGAGCAAGAACGCGAGACTTGCTTGGATTCGCATACCAAAGAATGACTGCAAGAAGTATAGGCAGAGCGAGCAGTGATGTGATATCAATATACGCTTTCCAGTCCCGTCCGCATTGGCAAAAAAGTCAATGCCTTGTGAGTGACTGACAGTGACATGTTTCTTCATGTCGCCAGCATACAGCAAAGGCGGTTGTTGACAGTCGACAACTGGGCAGTGACAGTTCCAAACCCGTTTCCGACGAAGTGAAAGTCTTCTGCGTCTTTATGATCGTCGGCACTTTCGCCCGTCGACGTGAGACGAGCAGAAGGCTCCATGGGCATTGCATGTTGGACGGCATTGATATCGCTCGTAGCGTTATGTTGCACAGCTGAAGTTGTTGCCAGAGGTAATGTCGCGCTAGATTTGGAGCTGACGCAGCAGAAGCCGCGACATGAACAAATGCCTTTTGGCTTTCTTTCGCAACTTGATTCTATCACCTACTTTAGATCCTGCCTCTTTCATGTTGTTATCGCTGGCATCGAGTACGATGGATGGAGAGATTCCTTCGTTCTCAAAGAGTGTGGCAGCCGAAGTATCAAGTCCATCGTCCTTTGCAAAGTGGGGGCGATGACTTTTCGTGGGTTTGTGGGCGTTGACGTTGGGCCCTCTGCAGTCGTCGGCAATGCATTATTAGCGCTATTTTCATTAAGTGCAGTGTTCTTATCGTATGGTAGGTCGAAGATTGATGATCGTAAAGATGGAAAAGGTTCGATGTGATGAATGATGAATGCATGATGATTGATGTTGTGGTCATTTCAGTTTCTCTCTGTCGTTGCGTGACTCAAACCTTCCGTGGGATCCGAACAAAACGCGGGTTCGATCCCCTCCGAAGGGTGGCAAATGTGCTTCAGATTCAAGTTAGCGAGAACATAGTTTCTTTGAATTGAAAGTACACGAGTAGTAATCACAATAGGCTCTGCTTGCAACCATTGCTTGGACTCTTTGCTGCTTCCTCGCGTCCGATCCAATGCTTCCTTCTCGTCCGTTCTCATCAGAACGAGTGTCGCAGCAAGATTCACATGTGAACCGGTCCGACGTCATGCATGATTCGCGATTTCGCTTTCGCGTCCATCCACCATAGATCCGCGTTACAAGCAGTCGACATCGCATCAATTCAATTATACCTGTAACGATCATCACTGCGATGAGATTGTGTCTGTTGGCGTTGACCATGTTTGCTTTCTCGTCTCGATTGATGTCTGTATATGGACTTGCGACGACGACGCCATCATTATTTACACGCCGGGCTCAAACGTTTCTGACATTGGCATCACGACGACGATCCTTGCATCGTTTCTCCACTACAGTCAGTGACAATGACGCAACCATTGGCGCAGCTAGTACTATTGAAACTGATCCAAATGAAGCTGTTGATGCACCTCTGTATCTCGAGCAAGGCTTGTTCTGCGTCTACAAGCCCTGCGACTGGACATCCAGCAACGTCGTGAGCTACCTGCGAAAGATTTTGGAGCGGGATGCCACCGTCCGAGGTGCTAGGCCCAGCAAGGTTGGTTCGCGCAAAAACAAAAGTCGAGTCATCAAAGTGGGGCATGGTGGAACGTTGGATCCGCTGGCGACGGGTGTTTTGGTGATTGGAGTGGGAAGCGGAACGAAGCAACTGCAAAGGTACGCACGTCATCTTGCGGGTTACGTTTTGCTCACTTTGAAGTGAATGTCTACTTACCGTTTTCGTCTAATCGCCGTTCAGCTTTCTCGATGGCTCCAAGCGATACAGGGCGGGTGGGGAACTTGGGTTTGAAACGACAACCTTGGACATGGAAGGAAACGTGACCAAGCGCGAGCCATTTGAACATGTTACACCAGAACATGTGGCGCAGATCCTTCCGTCTTTTGTCGGAACCATTGATCAGATTCCACCCATCTACAGCGCCATCCGAAAGGACGGGAAGCGTTTGTACGAGCAAGCACGTCAGGGCGTAACGGCGGAAGAAGTGGACATTCCATCTCGGCAAGTCGTCATCCATGGCATTGATTTGTTGAGCTGCGATATTCCAGCCTTTACCTTGGACGTTGAGTGCGGAGGAGGAACCTACATTCGTAGTCTCATACGCGACATTGGCTACAAGCTTGGGACGGCTGCTACGACAACGTCATTGGAGAGGACAAAACAGGGACAATTTACATTGGATGATGCTATAATGAAGGATGACTGGTCCGCCGAAAGTATCTACGCAGCTATTGCTCAATTCAACCAAGCCAGAATGGAAGAATCGGCGTTGGCGGACGAGAGCGGCTAGGCTAGCCCGTCTCTAAAAGCGTCAGTCGGTGGTATGCTCGCGCAATGCCTTGAAATTTTCTAGTCGTATTGGCTTCTTTGGACTTGTCGGGATGGTAGAGGCGTGCGAGTGCTCGGTAATGAGACTTGATGAGCGCGAGAGATGAATTTGGTGGAAGCCCCAAGCAGGCAAATGGTTCCTTCCACTGCCAGTGGTCGGGGAACAATTGCCAAATATGAAGCATTGGCTCTCGGAGAGCATGCGGATCGATAATTCTGCTTGGTGAGGGTGGCCGCGCCCGTAGCCTAGCGGCAGCTTCTTTAAACATGCGTTCCTGCAGCTGGGCTGCATCTTCGTTGCTCATGCTATAATTATATTCCGTGTTGAATTTGAATGTCGCTTCTTGTGCTTGAGAGAATTGCTGTCGTACAACATATGCTTTGCGTGGCTTTTTAGATGTGACGGGCGAATGATATACCCACTCTGTAGTCCTTGCTGATTGCTTTTTCTGAGAAAATGTTGATGGCGCTGCTGCAGCGGGTACTGTTCCATGTACTCCTGCTGTAGCCGCATGATCGACAGGCTCGGAAATACCCTCCTCAATGTCGTCGTCGCTCGCCTCCTCTTCCGATGAATCATCAATCATTATAAAGTTAACGCCATTGATAAGATTCTTCTGTCGTAGTTCTTCTGCTCGCCTGTCTTCCTCCTCTTGGCGTCGTGCTTCCTCCTGTCGCCTCCGTGCTTCTTCGCGCTCGCGCTTCCTTTTCTTTGACGCTTCAATAATCTTCAACGGATGAGTTTGGACGACTGGCTTCTTTTCCGTGCTAGGTTTAGAAGCTGTACTTTTCTTCAGAGTGGTATTCTCGGCAGGAGCTTCATCGCTCAGGTCGACAATGTCAAAAGTCATATTGACGCCGATCGGCTCGCTCCTTTTGGGACGCGACCTGTTGTTCGCCATTGCCAACTTGGCTGGTTCTGGCGAGTCCGTCAAGTCGACTACAACTTTCTTAGCATTATCTGACATGTTGGCTGACATAGAAAGCTCTGCAGTATCATCATTGTAGTGCAGTACACTGCTGCAAATGGCAGCCACAAACCCGCCATCACTGCTCACTGCAGCAGGTCTCTCGTCATGGTTAAAAGGGTGAGCAATGCAATTCTCACAAAGCATTTTGTCGCAGCGGGAAACCAATGTTTCGCAATCCTTTGCGACGCTCGCTTCCCTTCGACTCCCGCCGTACCACTACCCGCAGCTTTTTGCTACGATGCACTTTCTCATTTGGTATAACAGATGAGCTGGTACCTTTGAGATTAATGCATATAACTACTTTTTTACAAACAATTTTACTCTGACATCATGGGCTGTCAAAATCAATGAGCTTCCGATACAGACACTGTTGACGAAGCACACTCATCAGCGCTAGATAGAGGCAAAACGTTAAAAAGCCTTTTTCGCGACAGTGAAGACTCTTCCATCTTTGAGCATAATTGTAGCTTCAAAGGTGACTTGCTACCAGACTTGTGAATATGCTGACGAGATGACTCGCTATGTTTCATAGCCTTTTGAAAAGTCTCGAGCGCATTAGCATCCAACCGTTTCCATATTTTGTCGTTGCCGCATTCATTAACACTCGGTCTAGTCTTGCTCAAAGACTGATCATTCTTTGAGGTAAAACCATAGCCTGATTCTTGCGCATCCGGTCGTTCCTCTGACACGGACAACAGGAGCGAATCACGGCGAAAATACATCATATCAGAGAGAAACATACTGCTGCTGGACTGACTTAGCCGCCGTCGCTTCTTGTGA